TTGGAGATCAGTGCATGGTGCTTAAGGGCCACGCACAGCAGCATATAAGCACAGTGTGTGGAGAGGATCTAGGGATGATTAATACTTGCATAACAGGGATATACTTGATAAAATGTTCTAGCCAGCTTCTAAATGTAGAAGGAAATATCAAACCTAATTATGTACAGTCAGCCATGGACGCATTTCTGCTCTAACGGGAGCCATGACATGGCCACGTGCTGGGCTAGGCAAGCATGATACAAGGCAATGTCTTTACCCAACCAACTGCTGCTATATCCCCCCCAAGTAAAGTGATGAAGATACAATCTAAAAAAGGAAGGACACATCCATTGTGTTTAAACTCGTAGAACTATCTGCCAATCCCCTCATACTCGTCTTTCCTCCTCATGTTATTTTGATCCTTCTCAATTCAGAAAAGAAATCCAGAAAATAAATGTGAAGCTTACTGAAAGAAACACACATCATGCCATTAACGAAAATAAAAAGGTATACCTGACTTATACTATATATATATATATGTATACAGTCATTTAAGATAGGGATTTTCTAGCTAGCTTGATGCAGCATTTGTTCACTTTTGTCTACAGAGAGCCAAAGTAATTCTGAGATTTATTTTCCCATCAGTGCTACATGAGTCCTTTGATCAAAAATTCCTCTTTTTCCCCATGAGGTAAGTTTATTTTACATTTATATTATGCTGCAGAACTGTCACAAAGATTTATTGGCCAGTGCAGAAGTTGTTCCTACTCATTATTAATGAAAGATTTTTCATTTTCAAAATGACAATTTGGCAAGTAGAATTTTAAGACTGATTTAGTAAAGAGCTAAGAAAAAAAAAATCTTAGAACAAGTGCTGTGAACCCTATAGATTGAAAGGGATATGAGGTAAATCAAAGATTTTTTTTTCAAAAATCTACTAAACCACACCAAAAAGAAAGCAAGCAACTTCCTTATAGCCCTTTCCTTTTTTGAATATCTGCCTAGAGCAAATGGCTTCAAAACACATGGTTATAACTGAGCCAAAAAAGCAAGCTGAAAAGTTTGAAACAGATCCATGATATCTGTCAGGCTCATTCTGAGATAGTTAGCCTCCTAGTGCTTTAAAACCTGATGGAAGTACTCCACTGACCATAGGTTTTCTTCTTGTTTTTCACACCAAAGTGAAACACACAAACCCCAAATTAATAAGCTAAAAATTATAGTAATGAGCAGCAGTGGAAACTTAATACTTCACTTTTTTTTTTTAAGTTTTTTTTTTCCTCCTCTTCCTTCCACCCTATAACACATCTTGCTTCTATGTTAAAAACAAGATTATTTGCACATTATTTGCACTAAAGCAGACTCCTAACCAATCTCTCATAAAAACATATATATGTGTGTATATATTTTTAGTGAGATCTATATATGTGT